GGAGGTGCACATGGAGGAGGCTTAGGGGGGGAGGGCTGTGGGTCAGCTTTGGACAGATTTCATGTGACAGATGGAGATATGGGGGAGGCAGGTAGATACAGACATCTGCAGAGAGAGGGGGCCAGGCTGGAGCCCTTAAGGATTGTACCCATTTGACAGGTGAGGAAACGAGGCTCACACAAGCAGGGGGACTCACTGAAGTTGTAACCTGGGACCAAGGTCTATGACAGCAAAGCCTGTGCTGGTCCTGCTGTTGCATGCGGCGGGGACAGGGAGCCATGGCCATCCTGCCAATCCCCACGTCTGGCAATGGGGCTAAGGAGGGAAGCCCAGCTCTCTCCTGGCTGCCATCCTTGTTGGCAGGGTTGGGCCAGGCTGGGGTTGGGGGATGCCCAGCAGGAAGTGCCCTGAGCTTGGGCACAGCCTGGAGGGACATAGCCAAGTGGCCTGAGGCGCCAGTAGCTCCGTGAGCACAGCCGCCTAGCCTGAGGCTGTTATCTGACCAGCAGACCCACTGGGTTAGCATCGACTGGCTTAAAGAGGAGCATCTGGCGAAGCCGAGCAGGGAGGAGGGGAGGAGCTCAGCCTTGTGCAGAAGGAGGACGGCCTGTGGAGCCAGAGGGATTGACCACATGGTGAACTAGTCTCTAAGCTTCAGAGAGTCCCAGAGGCCTGCCTGGGGGCCCCAGGGATGCCAGTCGGTAGGGCTGTCCCTGAGCAGGGTAGGGAAGGCAGCCCGTTTGGTGCCAGCAGGTGCCGGACTCATGTGGGGATGGGACCTGAGACCTTGGGGCCAGGGAGGGTTTGGATGAGGCTGCCCGGCTGCCCCATGCCATGTGGGGCTCCCAGATTAGGAGTCACTTGGGAGGCCCCTTCCACTGCTCTGCTCGCCAGCTGTGCAGCCTTGGCCAGCTATTTCTGTGTGCCTCCTTTCTTCCCCTACAAGATGAAGCAACACCCCCAGGGGTGCTGTGAGGATTCCATGTAGAGAACCTGGCCTGCTCTTTAGGATGGGGCCTCCTTGGTTAGCTAGTTTCCTGCTTCTAGGGGCAGGCAAGCTACAGAGCCCTGTCACATGGGCCATCTGGCCTAGAATTAGAGCAGGCACCCTCTCAGTGCCAGTCGCAGTGGGGAGCTCTCTAGCCTCCCCAGCCCTGGATTCTGCCAGCCCAGCTAAGCTGGTGTTACAGCCTCTTTAGGAGCTCTGGCTGTTTAGAGGCTGAGAGGGGGGATCAGGGGGCTGCTTCCCCACTGCAGTGTCTTTGCACATGCTATGCCCTCTATTTGACATGCCCTTCCCACCAATCCCACCAGGTCCAGCCCCACAGGACCATTCATAAGCACACCTGGGGCTGCTGAATGAACTGGGTGGCATGCCTGCCCATGCTCAGGCACCCCTGCCCCATAGAGCCCTGCCCACAGGTGATGGGTTTTGTGGTTTGCAGGAAGGAGGACATGTAAACCATACCAGCTCTTCTTCACTGTGCATCCTCTGTGCTGGCAGGGGACCAGAGGGGCTTTGTGGAGGAGGTGGCACAGGGGAGATAGGGTCCTTCCTGAGCTTCACCTATATGCACACACACCCCTAGGTGCCTACTCTGGGCCCTGGCCCCTGGAAGAACTGCCTGGTATTGTGAGCCCCCCTAATGTGTTAGTGAACCCATGAGGACCTGCCCAGTTCATCTCTGGGCCCTTCCCTTCCCTAGCATCTTGGACACTCCAGAACTCTGGTGGCAAGTGTTGAGTGGAGGAATGAACAAATGAGGCTGTGGAGATGCAGGTGAGCTCGGATGTGCGAGAGGCCAGGAGGTCTGGGAGTAGCAGAGCAGTCTGTTGGGTGCAAGGCCCTGGAGGAGGAGAGCCTCAGTGAGGTGGGTGCAGGGGAGGCCCAGCTTGCTATCTTCAGCACCACCCCCACCCCAGGCAGAGCAACCCCAGGCCCCACCCAGGAGGGGACCGAGAAGGCTGCTGGGAGAGGGTGCAAGGCTCCTCCTCCTGAGACTTAGATTGCTGCTAATTTGCAATCTTAAAATGCACAGCAAAGGCACCAGCCTCATTGTTAGTACATTAATCAGGCAATCAGCCGGTTGGGCTCCCAGGGGCACACTGGGAGTGGATGCAGGAGGCGGAGCAGCAATGCAGGAAGAAACCCAGCACAGTGACAGTCCAGGGCTGGGCACCCACTGGCTCGGGCAGGGGTGCCAGAGGTGGTTAGGTTTGGCTGTGCGTGGGGGGGTTGGGGGTGGAGCTGATCAGGACCTTGGAGATAGAACCAGTTTCCAGCGTGGAGAAGCAGGTTTAGCTGAGACCCACCCACCACAATGCCCAGTGGAAAGGGACAGGGTAACTGCAAGGGCAGCTTCCGGGCTGAGTCCCCTGGCATCGGGGAAGTACTGAGGGATGGAGAGCTGAGGTCTCTCAGAGGAAGGGTGCAGTGGCTCCTGCCCTGGGTCCCGGCCTTCACTTCACCCCCTGCTCTCTGACCCCTCCCACCTGCCAAAATGTGTTCCTACACAGGCTACTAAGCCCACGCCTACATTTTTTGGCAAGTGACTTTTTCCCCCAAACCAGGGTTTTTGCCTGGTTTTCCTTGTGCCCCAGTACCTATTTATGAGAGGGGTGCAGCTCTCTGTGGAGCCCCCCAGCTTCTCTGGGGACCATTTTGGGGAACTCCATCTCAGAGCCACCTCAGCAGGCAGAAAGGCCATCTGCCCCCACCCCAGGGCCGGGGGCAGAAGAACCACCACCACCACCACACAGAGTGGTTCTGGGGATCAGAGGAGCTCGAGCAGAAGCTCTTTGTAAGCTCTGTAAGCTGCACAAATGTCGAGGGGGATTAGCGTTGAGCCTGCCACAGCTCACCCCTGTCCCCCACAGTGAGCATCTGCCTGCTACCAGATTTAAGGGACAGAAAAGGCTTTTTCTTCGCAGGACCCCCAGTGGTCTCATGCAGCAGTGGCTGTCCCACAAGCACAGGTTTGTGGCCGTGGCCCTGTCCCCTTCAGCGCAGTGAGCACTGTGAATGCTCTTGAGCTAGAAGGGCACCCTGAGCAACTCAGGTGGCCAGGCAGGACCGCCTCCCTGGGGCAGGGTTCCTGAAAGACAGCACCTGGACAGCACCTCCTCAACTGAGAGAAGGGAAAGGGAGTGTGGGCTCTGAAGTGGGTGCAGCCAGTGTGGGTTGGGCCCTCCTCCCAGCCCTGGATGTTGGAGGCTCAAGGCAGAGGGCAGGTTCCCCGAGAAGCAGCTGGGGCTTGGGGTCCAGGGTCCTATTCCCTCACCCTGTGGATCTGGAACCCCTGGCCAGACAGGTCAGAGGCTCGAGGTCAGACCTGATTCTCCATGTGAGGAACACCGGCGCAGCAATCATCTCCTACACCTGTTACAGAGGGGGAGACTGAGGCTGAGAGGCACCAGCCTCGGGCCTGGCCTGCGTGCTGTCCAGTGGGCTTCATGACAGAAGGTACTGCAGGGGCTACACAGAGCATGGACCAGCCCAGAAAGGGTCCTCACAGCTGCACCGCCGCCACCACCACTGAGGTCATAATTGCTCTGAAATCGCAATCAACCCAATTATGCAAAAACCAAATCATGTGCGATAATTTTTACGTGTTGGAAATGTTCGGTCGAAGATGGGTGATTACAGGGGGACTGGAAGCAGCTGCCACTCTCCGGGAGCCCATAACTCCCAACAGCTGGGAGCTGTCACTTACAGTGCTGTTTCTGCCAGGAATGAGGGGGTGGCAGTGGAGGTGAGGCTGCCTGAGCCTGGCCAGGCGGCTGGGGCAGCAGTAGACCTGGAAGCCTGGCCGAGCAGCCAGGGTGAGGCTGGGAGCAGGGCCTGCCCAAGAGTGGCCAGGAAGGTTGATTCTGCAAGCTCTGGGCACAGCTGGCAGCAGAAAGCATCAGCTGGGCTGCCCAGGCCCCCAGCTCTCCCAAGAGGCCCTGCTTGCAGGAAAGGGGAGGCGGCCACCCGGCCAGGGATGAGATAGCCACCTGGCCCTGAGGGACGGGGGTCTACCGGCCTGGAGCCTGTCCCCTGAACACTGGCGCGACTGTCAGGCCGCCTGGGGCAGCTGCGACCCTGAAAAAGGCAGGTAATGATGATCGTCCATAATGAGGCTGCTCCGATAATGAGCATGGGGCTATTATCCAACCACAGGCTGGACACATCCGAAAATAAATTATTTTAAGGATCCATTAACAAATGCCTAATTAATGCCCAATTAGAGGAAAGCTACAGAGGAAATGCTCTGGACAGTCATGAGGCAAGGCCTGGTTTGCAGCCACAGCCTAGGAGCTTCAAGCCAGGCTGGGATTGGGGAAGAGCCAGACGGTGGAGAATGGGGGCAGCCTGTCAGCCCCAGTGCCCCTCAAGTCCTTCACACAGAGGTGGCCTCTCAGTACACCCTCATGGTACTGCGAGGGACAGCTAGTAATATTTAGAAATGAGGAAACTGAGGCACAGAGGGGCATCGCATATTTGAGGACTTGGAAGGCCCTGTAAATGAGACATCTTTTGAGATGAGCCTTGGTGTTTTGCATGCATGCTCTGCCAATTATTGGGAATAGTTTAAATAAAAAGAGGGCTCTGGCCTCCATATATTTACTTTGTTAGAACAGGAAACTGCACCACTCTCTTTCACACGGTTAACAGCTGGCTAAGTGGCAAAGCTGCGACGGGAACCAGAGGCTGGCTGCGGTGTCCACGGGTGTGACACCCGCCCCCACCCCTCGGCATGGCCCTGGAGGATGGGGCAGGTCCCTAGCTCACCCCGCGGCCCAGGCTAAGGGCAGAAGCCCCAGTAGAGGTGGGTGGGGGGCCAAGGCGTAGGGAGCGCTAGCTCACCCTGGAGGGGGCCTGACCCCTGCCTCCCTCCCCCGGGCCTGCCGCATCAGCAAGGACCCGCACGCCCGCCCGCGGCCCTGACCCGGCTGTGCTCAGCAAGGACCCGCACGCACGCCCACGGCCCTGACCCGGCTGTGCTCTCTCCCTCCAGGGCGCTGCGTGGAGCTCCTCCTGCTGCTGCTGGCTGGGGAGCTGCCCCTGGGCGGCGGCTGCCCGCGGGACTGCGTGTGCTACCCGGCGCCCATGACCGTCAGCTGCCAGGCGCACGGCTTCGCTGCCATCCCCTCGGGCATCCCGGAGGACAGCGAGCGCGTCTTCCTGCAGAACAACCGCATCACCCTCCTCCAGCAGGGCCACTTCAGCCCCACTCTGGTCACCCTGTGGATCTACTCCAACAATATCACCTTCATCGACCCCAGCACCTTCGAGGGCTTCGTACACTTGGAGGAGCTGGACCTCGGCGACAACCGGCGGCTGCGGACGCTGGCGCCGGAGACCTTCCAGGGCCTGGTGAAGCTCCACGCCCTCTACCTCTATAAGTGTGGGCTTGGTGCCCTGCCAGCAGGCATCTTCAACGGCCTGCACAGCCTGCAGTATCTCTATCTGCAGGACAACTACATCGAGTACCTCCAGGACGACATCTTTGTGGACCTGGTCAACCTCAGCCACCTGTTTCTCCATGGCAACAAGCTGTGGAGCCTGGGCCAAAACACCTTCCGGGGGCTGGTGAACCTGGACCGGCTGCTGCTGCATGAAAACCAGCTGCAGTGGGTCCACCACAAGGCTTTCCATGATCTCCGCAGGCTGACCACCCTCTTTCTTTTCAATAACAGTCTCTCTGAGTTGCAGGGCGACTGCCTGGCACCCCTGGGGGCCCTGGAATTCCTCCGTCTCAACGGGAATGCCTGGGACTGTGGCTGCCGGGCGCGCTCCCTGTGGGAATGGCTGCGGAAGTTCCGAGGCTCCAGTTCTGCCGTCCCCTGCGTGTCCCCAGAGCTGCGGCAAGGTCAGGACCTGAAGATGCTGAGGGCCGAGGACTTCCGGAACTGCACGGGGCCAGCGTCCCCGCACCAGATCAAGTCACACACGCTCACCACCACAGACAGGGCTGCCCGAAAGGAACACCAGCCATCCCACAGCCCTGCCAGGGACAAGGGCCACCCCCACGGCCATCGGCCAGGCTACAGGAAGCCAGGCAAGAATTGCACCAGCCACAGGAACCGCAACCAGGTCTCCAAGGCAGGCACTGGGAAGCTGGCCCCCGAGCTGCAGGACTATGCCCCGGACTACCAGCACAAGTTTGGCTTTGACATCATGCCCACGGCACGGCCCAAAAGGAAGGGCAAATGTGCCCGCAGGACCCCCATTCGTGCCCCTAGCGGGGTGCAGCAGGCCTCCTCAGGCACTTCCCTGGGGGCCTCTCTCCTGGCCTGGATACTGGGGCTGGCGGTCACTCTCCGCTGAGGACCCAGGGTGCCAGCTCCCAGCACTGCCACATGTCCACCAAGGAACAGAATTTCTTTTCTTTTTTTTTACAAGTGGAGGAGCTGCTGGATTTCAGGCAAAGGCGGGTAAAGGCTTTGGCTGCTGTCTGGGCCCTGCCGGGTGGATTATAAACCCAAAGTGTACAGCCCCAAGCGGGAGGGGTTTAGCGCATCACACCCAGCTGCTCCAGCCAGCCCTGACCGACCACCCACAGACAGCATCCATCCGGCAAGGCACGCAGAATGAATCCTTCATTAGCAGCAATGGGACAGTGCACGTGGGAGCTGGGCTGTGTGGAATCCTGGTCATTTGGAGAGGTCTGAAGGCCCTTGACATTCCTGGAGGAGGCAGGACTCAGAACAGACGAGGCTCATTCAAGAGGCTGGGTGGACCTGCTATCTGGGAGCACACAAGCAGCTGGCATCTGGGCTCTTGCCTGAGGTCACTTAGTCAACCTGCCCTGAATCCCACCTTGTGCCACCTTCAGTCCCTCCCTTGGGGGTAACTAACACCTCTCATTCCTGATGTCTCAGGCAACCCTGGCAGACCCAGGCCCAACTGCTGGGCTCCAAGAACCAATTACCAAAGGAAAGAATATCAGAGGCTGAAATTTAGAACTTCATCACATGCAATGAGGTTCTCACAGGAGGTGCAGTTTTATAACTATGTCCACTTATATATATACATACTCTCTACATATATATATATATTCACACACACAAATGCACAGGTCCCCTCCCACTTCCTTACCAAACTGTATGTCTTTTCATGTTTATAAACTATATGGAAAACCATACCTGCTCAACTGAGGATTGTATTGGTGGTTTCCAGCAAGAAAAGAGACAGGATTTTTGTATAGAGTCCCAACCTGATGACGATAGTCCATGTGTGATGTGGGATTGCCAGGCCCTGGGGCAAAGACTCAGTGGGGAGGGTCAGGGAAAAGGGGAGGTGACAGTCACTTCAGGGGACCAATATTCTTATTTAGAGCATCACCTTGTTTTTTAAATGCAAACAAGCCTGTCTGCCACCCCAGAGCACCCCATCACCCCCACGCTAGTAGCTGTTGGCAGCAGGAAGCCAGGCCCTGGAGACAGGCTGAATGGAGAAGGGGAAGGAAGGGACTTTAGGTCTTTTAAGCTGATGGGTGAGGCAGAATCCACAGTGTTAGTCCAACAGGCTGGGCAATGTTTTGCCAGTGATGGTCTGGAAAGGCCAGGGAGACTCTGGGCATGAGCCCAGGCCTCCAGCACGGCTCAGCTGCTGCATTTCTCCTGGAGGCCCTTTGATGGGCATCCCAGCAAGGGTCCTGTGTAGGGTGGCAGGAGGGAAAGCATCAGGTGGCCTTAGCAGAAAGGGAACAAAGAGGGCATTTCAAGAACCATCTCAGGCACTTCTGCGTTATAGAGGCCCCATCCCTCCTGGCCCTTCTGAAGATGCCTGGGGACAGCCAGCAGCTGGGGGCTGGACTCCGCTCAGGAGCAGGGACGTGCAGGGAATGGAGCAGGCCAGCCCAGACAGGGGACAGGGGCTCTGGTCAAGGTTGGCCATGATGCTGGCCAGGGCCTGGGCAAGCACCATCTCCTTTGCTCTTTGCACAAAACTGAATTCCCCATCAGAGAAGATGTATGTGAGAAGCAAGAAACACTGAATCCAATTGAGAGAGAAAAATAATAATAAAAAAAATTCTCTTGGACAAGAACCCTGTTTCTCATTTCCTAACCCTGCATTCCTGAAGGGGCGGCAGATCCCAGGCTTTTGTTGGGTGGGCGAGCCTGGCCAAGCACAGCTATGAGAACACGGCACATTCATTGGCAGGAAGAGTTGTATGGGGCAGGGGCACGCTGACTCACTGGGACACACATACGCACGTGTGCGTACACACACTCACGCATGAATGTGCACACATTTGCCATTCCATGGTTCTTCCCTCGCCTGCACAGAATGTGACTCATTTCCCAAACTCTGGCTGTGCTGGGCCAGTACTATCTCTGTGGCTGTCCCCAGAGCATGCTGGTGTCCTGGATCCTTCCCAGCCTGTTCCCAAAAGGCTCACTAGCAGCAGCTGAGCAGTTAATTCTTAGGGGATTTGGGAGTGGAAGGGATATGCCAGTTCCTGGGGTCTAAAGGGATCAGGAACTCAGATGGATCTGGAGGTTGCTCCTGCCTCTCTGACTTCAGAGGAAGGGAACAGTTCTTCAGACAGAGGGAGGAGGACTATGATTGTCCTGGCTGGGCAAATCCTCCTCCGTACAGGGCATGAAATGTGCACTAAAGGGAGTCTGGTGACAGTAGAACAAATCGTCTGTCCTGCAGTTGCTCCCCAAGCTCTTACCCAGGCCAGTGCCAGCCTCGCTGTCCCTTAGAACCTGATGATGTTGTTCTGTTGTTGACTTTATTTCCAACTTTAAATGGTAAAGCCCTCAGTGGGAAAACCAAGCACTTTATTAAATTTTTTTTAAAGTCTTAGTAAGTTCTGTACTATGGAAGCGAAACATTAGTATGAAAAATACTCATGTTTTACAGATGATTCAGCTTCCGTCAAGCACAGCACAGTCTCTGGTTGCCGACTGTTATTACAGGCAAGGCAGAGAGACCCAGGACACCAGGTGTATTTTTAGCAGCTTTCTCCTCTAAGAGTAGAGAGAATAAAAGTAGCTTTATTGTGGATGACATCACTTGTCACTCAGCAGCTCACATGCTATGTGCCACGATGACACCATTGCCTGAAGCATCAGACCAAGTTGGCAAGTCAGAGCAAGTGAAGACCTCTCTATTCACCAGACCCAGCCCACCTCTTGAGTGGTGCAGGGCAGGGAAGTGTGGGTACCTGCCCCTGGGAATCCTGTCCTCCTAGGGCTGAGTCCACCCCTCCTTTGTTCCTGATGGGGCCAGCACCTCTGCCATCTTTGCTCGGCACTTTCCCTGGGCCCCGGGGGAGAACCATCTTCTCTTCACCCTCTCTCCCCTCAAGCCACACAGCCCTCCACTTTAGCGACTATCCTGCAGGAGAGACTGGGTGGCCACTGGTGGTCTCAGAGTCTCCCCACACAAGCTCCTCTCACGAGCCCGGAGTGCAGCTGGCTCCCTACCCTTCATTCAACAAACACTGATCAAGGGCCTACGTGTGTCAGCCATTGGTCCAGGCTCTGGGGACATAACAGTGGGAAGATGTGGCTCTCCTTTAAGGAGTTTCGGATCTAAATGTGGAAACAAGTATGGGACTGGTGAAAGCAGTATAGGAGTGGTGCTTCTCTTAGCACTGTCCCCCATCCCCCATGAGAAACTTGGCTGGGGTAGGGGCAGTCAGGGAAGGCTTCCAAGAGGATGTGACACTCCATGGTTCTCAGAAAATGAGGAGTAGCAGAGAAAAGTGGCGAGTATTCCTGGCAGAGGGCTGGCGGCATGCCTTAGTACCATGCTTGGGGTATCAGCAAAGAACTGTCAGCTGAGGCCTGGAAATGCAGTCTGGGGAGGTGTGGGAGGCAAGCCTGGCAAGAGGAAGGCCCCAGGGGGATCCTCTCAGGGACTTGGAATCTATTCTGGAGGGGGAATGGGTGCCCCACCCAGGGGTCCTCCTCCCTGCCCCCACCCCCAACCTCTTTCCAAGCACGTGGCCCCCACTGGTGGCGCTTTTGCCAATGTTCCTCAACAGTGAGTTTTATCATCGCAACTTGCCTTTCTGCTCAGCCAGCTCCTTTCCTCGTGCCAGCAAGCGGGAGCACTCCCTGGAAATCTGCCTGGGCCGGAGTCCAGTTCCCAGACACCTGCTGCTTCCGGGCTCAGAGAACATCCCACAACCGTTTTGTTTCCCTGGCTCCCTCCTTTCCTATCCACACGGGGCTCAGCCCTCAGCCCCATTCCTTGCTTCCGAGCATGGCTGCCCAGGAACCCCATAGGCCGCCTCTCCATGGGCCCACTCTGGCTGACTACTGGCAATCTACAGAGCCCCCCCAGACTGATCTGCCCCTTTTCTCTTGTGCTAGAGGCTGTTCATTACCAGGGAGTCAAGAATCTCGCATGGCAAATGTTTGTTCATCTCCTGACTCATTACCCAGCGTTCTGCCACCATGGCAAGTGGGTTTCCAGAAGGCCTGTTGGCAGGTTTGAGAGGGCTGTCGGTGGGGGGGCCGGGAGTCTTCTAGCAGGACGGGCTGCAGGTACCAGGGTCAGAGAACACGTTTGCTGAGAGAGCTCCCTGAACTGGCCGGGAGCCTCAGGGCCTTGAGAGCTGTTGCCAAGTCCTCCCTCGTGTTCTCACCGACCCCCTAGGCTATCCCCACCGGTCCCTGGCTGGACACCCTCACGTCCTCGGGACCCAGCCCCTCAGGGCCCTGCTCAACACTGACCCAGAGGACGCCGGCCCTTGTCTGTGCACATTCTTTGATTGACCAGGGCAGGTGTACATTTTGATGGAGTCTTGAGGCAGCATCTGTTGTTAAGCCTCATGACCTAGCTATCTCCGAATTCTGGTTCATCTTCCAGGCTGGCTCTCTGACCTCACCTTCCTCGAAGCAGGAGTTTAACCCATCAGCCATTACTCCATCCATGTCACCAATCCCCCACTATTCACTCATTACAGGTCAATTTTCTTTTACTTTCTGTCTTCTTGGAAACTATCTCAAGAACCTTTGATCGTGCGTTAAAATATCCTTTACAAGTCTATACCAATATTACTTTCTTCTCCTCTAATTGTCCCTTTTAACTCACTGTGCTTCCAGTATAAATCTGGTCTCTCCCCTTTGCAGTCTGTTAATAAATACTCACTCTTGAAAACTATACATAAACGTCTAGTGTTGGCTAAATAACTCACTATACCATCAAAAAGCCGGGAAGCAAAGGAGGCTTGGTGTGCTGCCTGCCCGCCAACGCTTCCCCACCCAGGTGGTCCGCGCCCATCTCCGTTCAAAGGGCCACTGGACTCAGGGTAGTTTATGACCTTAAAAAGCCCACTGGCTGAAGGGACTGAGGTGCCCCATGGGAGAGATAGAGGGGAGAGTGGTTATGGTACCATGTCGACAGGGCTGCCTTCAAGGCAATGAGGGAGGGTGAGGACAAAGGAGACCCCTGTGCAGAGAGCAGTGGCTAATTCACGTGGCATTTCAGTGGGCTGGTCCACAAGGCCCCTTGCTTCCAGCAGAAGTGGGTCAGCTTCTGAGATACAGCACCGGCCTGCACGGCTGTGGCCTGCCCCCCATCTCTTTCCTTTTAGCTCTCATTGCTCATTAGAGTGTTAGTTTCTAAGCACTGGGAGGGTGGGGAAGGCTGTGCCTTTTGTGTCACAGGTTTCTGTGCAGCAGTGTGCACACTAATGGCATGCCTGAGCAGCAGACTTGGACACTGCTGCTGCAAAAGGTGCTAGGGTCACAGTGGTTTCCAAACTGAGGCTCCACACCTCCCCCTCCTCCTGCACCCAGGCATCTCAGGGGGGCCCCACCAGCCCCACCTCCTGCTGCTCCCTCTCAGGGCCTCAGAAAAGAGAGAGGAAGCAGGAAATGTATGAAACCCTTCAATCTTTATTAAGTGCCATTTCCCGGGAGACAGACTCTGAGGAAGAAAGAAATTCAAGTACTCAGGACCTAAACAGGTGGGAGGCAGCCAGCTCCATGTCACACGTCCCCAGCCACCAGGGACAGTCATGAGCAAGACACTGATGCCCTCCAAAGGGCAGCTGACTGGAGACTGGGATGTGGCTGTGGCCAGGGGGTTGCTCACCGCTCCAGCCAGAGTCAGATGCAGGGGATGATCAAGTGCCTTTCTCAGTGACAAGGGGCAAGCAGGACAAACCCACGGAGGGAGTGGGGTCAGGAGTGGACTGGATGGGCAAGGGGAAGTGGATGGGCACTTGGAGAGGGGGTGCCTTTCACATCCTACGGGGCAGTCATGTAGCCAGAGTCAGAGGCACAGAGAGATGCAGACAGACAGAAGATGCAATAGGGAGAGAGAAGTTTTGCACACAGGCGCACACACTGTTCAGGCACCATGTCCAGTCACTGTCCTTCATGCAACTGAGAGTGGGACATTCACGCAGTCCACAGATTTGATTGCCAGCCATGTGCAAAGCCCAGCCAGGTCCTGGAATGTTATGGGGAACAAAAGAGCCATATCCATGGGGAGCTTACCTTCCAGCTGAGAGCAGTCCTTATTTAATTACCAAGGAGGTGGTCAGGAGAGGGGCGGAGGGGTCTGAGAGGGTGGGCCAGGACCTGCCCTCCCCACAGGCTGGTGACCATCTCTCAGAGATCCCCTGGGTGTACTATGAGGGGCACATCCTGGTCTGAGCACTGGGCCTCGGTGTCTTCTGCTGAGCCTTGGCCCTGGAGGGGTCTATCCAGCTCCCAGCACCGTGGAAGCTCTGCAGAGGCCCAGAGGCCTTCATCTCCTGACACCGTGGCTGCCCACGCCTTTCAGCGCTGAGCTCCCATGCAGCCGGGCTGCATTGACATTCTCCCCCCACACTGGGGATCAAAGGGTCTCCAAGGTGTTTTTATTCTTCATCTAGGCTCTGGGTCTTTGAGGCCCTGAGGTCTCTGACCCCTTGTCTCTTCTGCCACCTGGAGAGTCTCTCACTGTTTTATCTGTGGCATTTGAAGTGCCACCAGGCGTCTGGCACTTTTCAAGTCTGAGGTACAGGCTCCTCTGGATTTCCACACCAGCCCCCTTTCCAGGAACACCCCGGGCTTGCCTCCTTGCTGCTGT